GTGCTACCTTTTCGGAAGCTGCCCGAGTAAACGCTCACTTTTTCGCTCGCACTATTTCCCGGTACACAACATGCACCAGTTATCAGCAAGACAAACAAAATGCCTTGCCCATCGGATTATAACTTCTCACATGATCGCAATCGTGCATGCCGCTTATTTGACAGAGAAAACGGTGCATCATGAAGAGATATTCCAAACATTCTTCTCTCTAGTACAATCAGTGCTAGCTCTTCTACATTCATAAGAGACCATGTTTTGCACCCGTACATTATAGCTTTCAGAGAAACGAAAAAAAAAAAACCAGGTAGCATCAGGCTCGCCGGCGCGACCATACGTCTTTGCGCTAAACGCGAAGCAGTTTGATGAACGATTGCTGCGTTATAGTTTAACACATTTTGGCCTTTTCTTGCATGCAGGGAGAAAAGGGCATTAGCTGAAACGTTGATGCTGCGTCACGGAACCGATAATCGGTCGTTTGACGACAAATACAAATTTGTACCTAAGTTTCATAAAGACCCTTATAGCTTCCGTTTTATTGCTTCCGCCACTCATTCCAGTATCAAACCCTGCGTATACTTTTGCACCGCATTCTTCTGTTCTTTCGTCATCACCTTCGTAACTATGCGGCTGCTGCACAACGCAGGTTGCGCAAGTACCTCTTTCATAGTGTGCGTAATTCCAGCGAGGTACTATCCTTCGTCAGCGAGTGCGGGCCTATTAATCACTTACACACTGCAGACTTTTCTACTCTCTTCACAAAACTCCCGCATCACGTAATCTTTGATGCCCTCAGTTATCTTTTTACCTTGTGTTTTCATAATGCGCAATCTGATGCTCTTCTCATTACCCCTAAAAGTGTCTTCTATGCTGATTGTCTCCACCTCCACCGTTCTGGATCCATTCACTCACGTGCGGAAATAGATGGCATCCTCCGTTCCGTCGTGCACGAGTCATACGTACGCTTTTCCGGCTACATTTTTCGCCAAGTTAAAAGCGTCTCCATGAGTGGCAGTGCTAGTTCCGACATTGCCGACCTCACTTTGTTGGTACTTGAATTTAAATACAGCAGACTTCCTACTAGTTCCCCGCTTCTCCTCCGTCGATATGTCGATGACATTTTAGTTCTCAACTACCCGGACTTTTCTTCCCTTCGTCTAAACATATATGGCCAGGACCTAGACATAGACTGCACAAGTTCTGGCACCACCGTCAACTACTTGGACTTGACCCTTTCCATAGACTGTAATGCTCGCATTGCCTCTTCACTTTACTGTAAGACCGATCTTTTCACTTTTCCTATCATTAAATACTCCTCTCTTCGTAGCAATTTACACCCCCTGTCTACAGCGGTATCCTTTATAGTCAGCTCAATAGGTACTTGGTTATTGAATCCTCATATCAGGGTTTTATCACATCTGCTCGTCGTCTTCTTCTCCACTATTCCCATGAAGGACTTTCTTCTCACAAAATTAATCGTCTAGTGAAAATATTTGTACGCAGAAATACTTACCAGTTTGCTAAGTACTTCCCTCCTACAGTGGCCCTGTGTCAGCAGCTGATACGCGCTCTTTTA